TTTACGTGAGTGGGAAAAGGATAATAGAACCCAGCTATTTAATTGGTAAGGTATTTCTATAGGTTTCTTCAAAGATATATTATGCCCGGTAATAAAAACCCAGTTCGTCATATTATTGCTCATTACATGGCGGTTTTATACTTTCACGAACGTTAAAGCTTCGTGGAAGTCCATTATCAAATGCCTATAAAATTTAATTTATATTTCAAAAATGGTGATGACAGAGAAGAAAGGACAATTTACAATAATAAATAGCGGTTAAAAATTTTAAAATAGTTATTTGTTTTATGTCAATGGCTTAATAAAACAATAAATGTAGCTTTAAAAAAGTACAACCACAACTATTATCTATGCGAACCTGTGGAAAATTGTTTTGTGTTCAAATGTGCTGACTATAAAAGACCTGTTAGGTCTACTATACCATGGTAACTGATGTTTTTTTTAATAAACTATTTTGCTTACATGATAACGGCTTCAAACAAGGTTCCTGTATATCAGCGTATCGATCTGGTTGTGCAATAAATGAAATGAAAGTAATGAAGTTGAAATGAATGAAAGTAAAAGCCAATCGACGCAAAGGCAATCTAATTTTATTAAACTTGTCATAAATTTACAATATCAAAAGTATAGTTTATAATTTTTGATGCACTAGTATAAATCTAAATAAAGAGTCTTTGTTTCATACGAAATAAATAATACTAGACTATCGTTCTCAATTGAAACAAAATAGTAATTTCTACAAAACTAATCATCAAACGATTCTTTTAAGGGAAGTTTACATCACTTTAAAACAACAGTCACTGGCCACGGTAGTCGAGTGGTAAGCGTACTTGACTCGCGGGTTAAATGTCCTGGTTTCAAATCCCGTCGTGGGTTGAAAAAAACAAATGGAATTTTCACCCACCCCCCCATCACACACACACTTATCAGGGGAAATCCCAATATGAACAATGTACAGTTATCATTTAGTTTAGCAGTGGACACATTAGCCGAATCGTTCGGCCGAATCAATCGGCGACGAATTTTATTCGGCCGAATGGTTGGACACACTAGCCGAATGCTTCGCCCGATTCAACCTGTCGATTGCATCACCTTTCACATCACATGATTAAACATGGCGTCGTCTATGGCTTCAATCTATCACGTGACTTCTCGATTTGAGTGGTGATTGGCTAATGAATTCTATATTCGGCCGAATGCATCGGCGAAGCGGACACACCAGGCGAATATAATTCGGCCGAATATATCAAACCTGTTTGATTCGGGCGAGTCATTCGGCCGAATGACAGTGGACACACTAGGCGAATTTCGACGCCGATTGATTCGGCCGAACGATTCGGCCGAATCATTCGGCTAGTGTGTCCACCGCTTTTTCGAGTCGAGTGATAGTTTCGTCCGGGAAACCGCCTGTGGGATGGACAAGGAAAATATTGCTTAGACATTCGGGTGGGGTCGTACAAGAACCCATGACAGACGAATAGCAGACACGGATAAACTGAGCTCCCTTAACACGGCCCTCGGTGTTTCGAACCTACTCTATCCTAGAGTAAGTAAATACGAGATGCATGAGTTAATCTACGAATATTATGATGAGATATTATGATGTGACCCCGGAGGTAGAGTGGTTCACAGCCTCAAATATCTTGCTAATAAAAATCTAACCTTCTCTTGTCAACATGATCTCCACTGATCAGAATTCTCAGAAAACTATTCAGTCACGGGGTCGCACGTGCGCTGCAGGCAGCAAACATTCGCCCAAAATAGACATTCACGTGACAATATTCATTCATTTATTTATCTATGAACCCTTGAAAAAATTCTCTTCTTACGCGATATACTTTTAAAAATACGTAGTTACGAAATTGATTAAAACTTTGGCTAAAACTCGATGATTTTATTTCTTATTTAATTGATTGTAACCAATGACTTATATTGTAACGGTTCTCGGTTCAGGGTCACCTCATGTAGTTTCGATCTTTTAAACTCACTCTCGCAGCAACTTAGTGACACCGCAAGACTGTGAAATTTACTTTTATTTAACCGCAAAATCCAGTGGGTTTAGAAGTTAAATTGTGGCTAGCTCTAAAATACGCACCAAAAAAATTGAGACCGGAAATTAACTGAACGAAATGGTTTTTCGTAGTCTTGATTAACCAGACTTGTCTGATAAAAATAAAGATTAAGGTACCGGTCATAGCACTCGAATTCTAATCGTTTTAGATCGTGTGACGTGTGCTCTGTTTTGGATGTGTATTTTTTTTATATTTGTCTGTGATAATTATTGGAAACATAATAGGATTACTACAAAGGATATTTAACGACTACAATATGAGTACGGTAAGTACTTTCTGCAAACTGCGTTTATATGGTCAACCGCCAATTTCTCCGCTATTAGAATGTTTATAGTGCATTTATAAAAATCAGCCGAAAATGTAACTGATAAATATAACTGATATTACGAGTTGTTTAGTTTTATTTCTCTCTCTATATCTCTTTTGTTCAAAAACTAAGGACTGTGCCTTTGTACAAGCGTTAAATTTAACGTTATTTGGAAGTATCTTAAAAAACGAAGAATTCCGAATTAATTATGCGTCCCAGAGCAAAGCTTCAAACTTTAATATAACCAAGAACCATAACTCGTTTTGCCAATAAGAGTTTTAACTCCCTTGAGAATGGGAGCTGATCATCCTTTTCAATATTTTAAAAGCACGTGTCCAGATGGTTATATCCTCATAAATCAAACATGGCCAGACTTTGAACCACTCTACCGTAGGGACGAAAAGAGTGTTCTACTCTATGAAGACTTGAGATTCTACCCCAAGACCCAACGGACGGGATCCATAAGTGATCATCCTGAGGGTTACTGGTAGTCGGGTGCCCTGTGTGTGGGGGGGGGGTGTTTTTATTGATCAGGCCAACGGCACGACAACGCCTAGCCCGGTGTGGCAGTTTCAGATGGTCCCTGGTGTGTGATTACCGTTTGGCGCATGCGCAGTTGTAGGAGTCACCTCACACCATTACAGACGCAGTGTGCATTGACTCCTCGTGATAGGATTTCCCCTAAGATTTTCTTACGGTCAAATCAATTTCTAGATATTATCTACCGATATTTACAGTGCTAAGTACAATTCTATTCTTTCTTTCTTTTCACGGAACTGTTGAAGTGAATTAATTGATAATTTCAAGCCAATCATCAATTTGTATGGTTTCCACTGATCGTACGTGTGTAGAACGACTAATCACTAAAAAAAAAACAACGGCAACAAATCACGAACGACAGAAGTATCAATTTCAAACCAATCAACTTAGATCCGTTGATCGTGTAACTACTGATCACTAAAACAACAGCTAATCATGAAAACAAGTATTTTTATTAATGACAAAACTCTAATCAAGTACACTTTGTACTTTTTCCTGTACTGACCAGTGATCAGGAACCAACTCACACCGCAGGAAGTAGATATAGTTTCGTTGTTAATGCAAACATCAGTTTCAGACATGCGCAAGTGCCCAGGAGAAAACACAAACCAGGAGTCAACTCAAACTGTCACACCGGAAAATATTGCCTGCATCCCTGAACCTATATATAGGTCGGACAGGCGGTGGGCCCTAGGGCTCGGCTGACATTTAAACCTAAATTTACCTACCACATCCCTGAACCTAGGTCGGACAGGCAGTGGGCCCTAGGGCCAGGCTGACAGTCAAACCTAAATTTACCTATCACACCTAAGATTGTAGCAATGTACACGTGGAGCCTCTCCTTTGGATGAAATATACCTTGGGCGCTTCCCTGCAAAGACATTGTGTCTTATCCAGTCTATTTTGTGGGTTTCCTCTGGTAAGTTTCTTAGGAAACACATGTCTACGATATCACCCTTGGTGGAAATGGACGTAAAACTCCAGGAACGAACGAACAAACGAACGAAAAGCAGACTTAAACAACAATGTCTTGGCACAAGTTTCCTCCCTAGAATTTCACTATTGATCATAAACAATAACCGCATGTTAGTCTCCAAATGACAGAAATATTGTGTTAAACCCCATTCCTATCAGAACAACATGTCAAATTCATCTACGATGGCGACCGGCAATAACAAATGATTAAACAGTTATAGAAATTTATAAACAAAAACCGGAAAAGTATTTATCGGGTGGTTATTTCCAATAAAAGTATGTCAATTTTGGTATATATGGAAAGTACAGACACCCAGTCTTGCTAGAAAAATACTGGATTACCCGAAAAATGCCCATGGGGCAAGCACTGAACAAATTTGTCAGGATATCACTAACTGGCAACCCGACTGTTTTTAGCCAGCTTATTGTGTGCCAGCTTAAGTGAGGGAGCGGTCCTTATTTCTTGATCAAATAATTAGGCGGCTTTGGGAACATTGAAGGGTGTCAACATACAAAGACTCTGCAATTAAACGGCGGAAAAAGAAGTTGACAGAAATAATTAAGAATTTACTTAGGCCTCGAAATATGTATGGTAAATGTACAGTAAGTAATGATAAATCCATTCTGAAAAATGGACCCTCCCACAATGAAGCTAAGTTGACATACATTGCGTTTAACAAAGCTTACTTATAGCTATAGGTATCTCCGGCGAATACAAAATTTTGAGAGGGAATTGAAGCAAATTTTTTATAGATTGGTTACTTTGAATATGTTTTTAGTCCAAATATATCATCAAATAACAAAGTTTGTACGCGGGATGTATCTTTAAGTTATCATGTATATCACGTCAATATCACGTCAATGATAAAAAAACAAAACACACTGGGCATACCCTCGTAAAATCTCTATTATAAAATGATCACAAGTCACTTCCACGTGCATAGCAACCTGGAATTTCGGGCACGACATCTGAAATTGTATCCATGGTATTTCGATTGACAGATGTTCGTGTATTGATCTCAAGAGAACTGTTTACCGTTGTTGTAAATTCCTGATAATCATAATGACAAGCCTCTCAACAGAGTACACAAACGAAGCAGACCTACCTGGTTTTTCTGGAAGCCCTTGTGAATCTATAATCGAGTTCAGTCCTGCTGCCATAGACAACCCAGAAACCATGAATAACTTTGACTACCTCACCCTGTAAAGAATAATGTTCAAGATGAAATTAACCCCGGGTGATTTCCTGTGCCCATAATATTACAAATAAAATGAACTATGTAAACGTTTTGAACATGGGTTACCTAGAGCTGTAGATAGTCATCATAAACATCGATTTTTCTAAGAACCGATCTCAGGCATGTAAGTTCCTGTTAATGTATGTTTTCGTTAAGACGATTTTGCAAAACACAGCCCATTACCCCCCACCCCAACACACACCCACACCTGTGTACACCTGTCTTTGTCATTGATATTGCAGAGACTCATTCCCAACTATTTTTAAGCCTCGTTGTGGCCTGTGGCCTAGCGAAGCGGACAATAAGTGTGCCTAATCGTACGGATGGGACAAAAAATGGTCAACCGTCTGACCATTAGCTTGCATGTAAAAGAGCACTTGGCAGTTGTAATTCGAAGTTGTCAAAACGCCGCGGTCCTTGTACCAACCCCTCTCGCTTTACCCGAATAACTATAGATATGATAGTCATATCAAAGTGACCAAAGTATTTTGTTGACGAGACACAGTAAATGAAGAATTCAAATCTAAAACAAAAATTAATTCTGATAAAGATATTTTTTAAGAGGTTGTTATTTATCAAAATTTAGATTACCTTCATAAAACAGAGCCTATAAAGTATTAAGTTACATTCAAAAGCTGTTGAGATCCTTTGAAGGTTTGCAGTGAACTATTAATTCTGTGTATTCATACTTTCATTTACGATTTCTTGAGGGTTAAATAAAATTAAAGGCGTTTGAATTGCAGTTATGTTGTATTTTAGTAGTGTGCTTTTTTTTTATTAACTGAATGTTAAGCATATAAAACTTTTGTTATAAATATTAAGTTTTGTTTAACATGGTTTAAAAAAAACATGGTACATTCTTCTTATACAATGAAATCAGTTTAACACTCTTGTTTAGTGCTGGTATATACAAACCAAGAGATAATGGAGTATTAGCGTTTTGAAAATTAGAATAAATAACTTCTATAAACAGTTTAGTAAATAAATTTACATATGCATAAAGGGAATAACTGGTTGGTCGATTCTTTCTTTCTTGTAACCATATAGTTCATTTTCGCCTAAACATCAATAAATCATGCCATATTTTGATATGGTATATTACTGAAACCAAAAGGTTCTCGAAGGCAACCTGTTTATATCGGAAATCTCCGATCACAAAATCTACATCCTACCTAATTCTCAAATATTTCTGATACCACTTCTCATTTTCAGGAGTTCTCATCAGGCGCATGTCCAGAGGGGAGGGGACAGGGGGTCCGGACCCTCCCTTGCTCGCACAGATCATATATTTTATTTTCTTATCGGTTCACCTAAATAATGCCAAAAAATAACATGGCCTATACATGCATGCACCTAAATGAGCAGAAATGTTATCTCGGAGCTTTTGATTTTATTAAATTCGGGGGTAATTTCCTCCCCCGACTTGACGTTGTCAGCACCATGAATCACCAAATTCCTGAACACGCCACGGCTAATGGCTAACAATATTTTGTTGTACTTTTGAATTCAAAGACTTGCAAATATATGCCGATTAAGCTTTTGCAATGTAAACAAGGTTCAGTGACCTGCGGGAGCCACGGTGGCTCAGTGAGTAGGACTTTGGTTCGCTAACCTGGAGTTCCCCCCTTGTCAGTGATGTAGGGCGTAGGGCCTGGCAAAGGACAAAGTATAGTCTATCGGGTTGTACGAAAACCCGTGATCCCGTGTATATATTGGCGAGCACGTAAAACAATCCTTGACAGTTTGAATTCGAAATGAGAGTAGGCCGTAGCGCCGCTGATCGGGCTAAATTTCCCACATAACACACTGCATGGCTTATGCCCGTCTTCATTAGCCCAATAGGAGCAGAACAGTAGGACGTTAAACCCCATTTCATTTCTTTTCATTGGCCTGCTTATGTCTGACAAGTGACAACAACTCTTATATTATTTGAAATACATCCTATAGTTTCAATGACTAAAACTTGGGATTGATGTCGTTTATTATTTAGATCAGTGACGGAAAAAGATATACGCGATTAAACCTTTGTTTCCAAAGATAAGGCTTAGGCTACTTATTTTATCGACAGCCGAACAAACTCAACTAGTTTTATATCTCAACATTGGCTTTAGCTTTAATCGTAATTTTTTTTTAAAGATTGATCATCGTCCCACAAAACATAACATATAAATGCCAGAGAACAGCACCAAACATAACAACTAATGACAAACCCAGCAAAGGTCTTATATGTGTTCCACTAAGAGCACCAATGGTTTATTCTTCGAAAATCTCCACATTTGTTATTAAATACAACCAATGTGTAGCGGAGATTTGAAACCTGAAGATAAGTTTAACGTCAATAATATGTAGCGTGTGTTAATAATACTGCACTGTATAGTATATGTCACTGCTTAATATACCAACTGTATTCTATTTTTGGTTTATAAAGAAAATAAACGCATATACTACGGACATATTATTGCATTCTTTCTGAATTGTTCTAAAAATACACCATGTAGATTACTAAAAATACATGCCGTTACAGACTGGGGACTTTCTCATGACATTAAAGTAATACTATATCACATTTTGCTCGCGTCGTTTTTTTTTTTAGTAAGAGGTACCCCTTTGAATACCGAGGTAATTAAATAAGCATTTATCAAGGCGGGTGGAGAGAGGTGCATTGTGCACCTACTTCACTACTAGGTCCTGTATTATTGAAGTGAGTGAATGGGGAAAACTATGGGAAGGAGTTTGTATATATAGAAATCAGCCCCGATCATAAATCTACCGCGAGGCTAGTCAGTACATTTCACTTAAGACGCAACTTTTACGTTAATATCCTACACACAATCAAACAGTATAATCGTTAAGGCTAACAAGAACAATATATCTGATACAGCGATACCATAATAGTACGTCAGACAGGTAGAAAAAGAAGAAATATTTGTTAGTATAATAAATAAATAAACAAACCGTATCTATTACGAATAACAATTACCAATTATGAACGGAGGTTGGTGTTACATTGACATGAGAAAGAATCTGATAAAGTGTTATTTCATTAATTTGCCGTTAGACGAACAAGGGTCAAATGGCTGCTTTAAGAGCTCTTCCCCGGTTGCTTACAAAAATAATTTCGATTTGGGCTGATTTGCTATCCAGTTGTATCGGGTATGTTCAAATTAGATTTTATGCACTATTTCAGACAAAAATGTCATGGCTCCATTTTGAGTCTATGGTTATTGTAAAAATTATTTTATTAAAAAATAATCATATTGTTTTTCCTGGTGAGAGTAATAATGCCTTTTTAAGTCACATTCCTGTCTAAATTTTACCTCTCATTCACTTTGCATCAAAGCTGGTCTGTTAATCGGCCCCTCGCTTGGGGGAAATGGCCGTTATTCCCTTGTCCTACATTATAAAGGCCATCACTAACCTTAACACTAACCCTGCAACTTAAAAAGCCTTAAATCACGATGATCAATCCAACCCGCCACCCAATCCACGGAAGTTTGCTAAAAATTCAAATCATCCAACCTGCCATCCATATAGGACAATTTCTAGAATATAACCCCATAAAAACTCATGTTTCGTTTCATTTCCTGTTGTTTTTTGGGGTTTTTTTAAATCCCATATCAGTGCTTATAAAAGCGCAATACCATTTGGTAAGATTTGACAATGAAATCACAGAGCAGTTTGATAGTGAATGGTAATGTTTAGAAGTATGCTGAATGATAATTTCACATGAATTACTTTGTGAATATTGTAACATGGGTTAACTCTATCAAACATAGACGGTTGAATGAACTGAATAATCAGAATATATAGAATTGATTTGGTTGAATTTAACATCACAATACTGTATTTTATTTGGAACTAGATGAAATGGCACATAATGACTAATATCAGTACAGTGTCGAATATGCATTTATTTAAAAATAATCTTCACACTTATTTCGGTTACAGTAAAGCTAATCTGACAAGGAAAGCCCGTGCCATTATTATAAAAGGTGCACGGAACCCTTTTTTGCTTGAATGGACATTGCCCAAAATAAATCAGATTATTGTCCTAAAATGGTTTATATTGTCTGCAAAAATACCCATCTCTTTACGCATACTTGCAGAGACCTCGATACAAAAACTGTAACTGCCGAACTTGTCACCTTACAAAACGCGGATACAAAGGGGGGGGGGGGGCGATCCGGGACCCGAAATAGTCGGAAATGGCACCTATAGCGTTTCATTTTTGCACTCGTGAATTGTCACTGTACCACTTCAATATGGAGATCTGAAATTTCTACTCTACACCCCCACTCCGCTTCGGAAAATTCTGGATCCGTCAGTGCTTCCTAACACTGCACAAGTAAACGCATGATTATGTTAGGCGTAGTTATGTTGAAACACTACCGTAGTAACAGTACTTTAGTTCTTTAACGTCTGCTTCCATAACTTCTCATATCTACACTATTTAAAAGAATAACTAAGTAAAAAGGAAATGATTGTAAAATCAATTCTATTTTCTATTAGACGTTTGTAAATATTTTGGCGGTTTTATTTGGTATTATGACGAGTATGTTACACGGATACTGGTCACAAATACCTTAAAGGCTCAATACCACTCTTGTTGTAACTGAATAATATGTCCCAATCTTTATTCTGTTCAACAAATTGTACTATTTTACAATATTCCAATTAATTGGTGATACAAATTTCATCTTATCACAACTAATTTAAAAAAATGGAAAAATTCAACTAAGTGATTTGAAAAGCCTAACGTAAACCTTTTCAAATGTGACTTGGATTTAAAAATATTTTCAAACCCTCTGGATAAGTAAATAGGATGTAATGGATAATTTACACAACAGGTAGGACACTTAAACATTTAATACTTAGAATAAGGCTATTATTTATTTTCTGGAGCTGTCAAGCCAGCAAGAGTGTTATTGTCCCTTTAAACATTGTCGTTTACCATTATCTAAAA